CAGAAGATCAAACACCGCATGTTCTCACTCATAGGCGGGTGTTGAACAATGAGAACACATGGACACAGGGAGGGGAGCACTACACACTGGGGTCAGTTTGGGGGAAATAGGGGAGGGACGGTGGGAGTTGGGAAGAGATAGCAAGGGGAGAGATGCCAGATGTAGGTGATGGGGGGGAAGGCAGCAAATCACACTGCCACGTGTGTACCTATGCAACAATCTTGCATGTTCTTCACATGTACCCAAAACCTAGAATGCAATATAATAAATAAATGGAAAAATATATATAATTTTCTTAACAAAAATTACAACTGGCTTGATATGTATAATTGTAAATATCTGAGGATATTCATTTATTTAAATATCTGAAGTATTTAACAAATTCTTAAATATGACCCTGAGAATTTTATTAAATAACCTGTATGTTGGCATTGGCATGTGATACACATTTAAATAAAATGTACCTAAATTATTGTGTAAAATCATTTTATTACAAAATCGTAGGACTACAAATGCATTTAATGATGTTATACTCTACCATTTTACTGAAATGACAGATTTTTTAAACTCATTCATCTAGCATATTGCCAACTGTAAAATACTTGAAAGACAATGATTAAGGAAAAGTAAGATATATATCAGAGGCAATTCTATCAGCTTACTCCCACTGCAATGCTAATAATAGAGCTTTAGATCAATGTTTGATTATGTTAGTAAGAATCTGGATAGGCTCTGTGGCTTTAATGTACTACTCATACTACTTGAGGGGATTTGAATTATTGCTTAGGCAAAAATATAATTTTCAAAAGAAGCAAAATCATATCCTTCAGGCAAATATAAAATAAATGTTGTCAAATATTTCATTTAACTCATTTATTAGTTAAGGGACCTGTAAGATGTTACTACTGGTTCAAAATGCACTTAAGAATTTAGGGTATTTGTAGTCAATTTATCAAATAAAATTTAGTATAAGATTGCTGAGTTGGATATAAAACTCTTTAATTTTGAGTAGTTTATCAATTTTGAGGGTCTAGCAGACAAGTTGTTTCCACTTTATCAGACATAATCTGCAAAATTAGCAAGTAACTAAGTCTGTGACCATTAATAGTAAAATGAAACAGGCACATTCTCCTGGACAATGCTTGCGTAGCTTTTGCCTTTGTATAAAACTGAAAGGATGCGTGACTGACCCACATTATTTGCCCTATTACTAAGTTTTCGAAAATTTTCTGTTATAAGGTAGATATGCAGCTTATCTTCGTACAATATAGAATTTAAAATGGACAAATAGAGTTTTCTCCGCTTAAGAATATTTGGGCAGAAAAGTTAAAATTATTCCCTAATTCAAGTGACAAGCTGCAGGTTATTAAATACCAAGAAGGAAGAGATGTAGTTTTAAGAGGTGCAGAGAACTGAGGGCATTTATACCTCAAGTGATGCGATGAAATTGATTGTAACTAATAGAATGTGAAACAGTCTCCCAAAGAACATAATGAAGTCCTAAAGAAAACAGTTAAAAGCAGGAGTGGATGGCGGTCTTGAAAATACAAGCAAAGAAAATTGCTGCATTGGAGGTTGATTTTAAGTTGTTACAAAATGTTGCTACATCTAATTTTATTATTTTTATTCATGACTGGCCATGTGTCACCTTAGTGCTGATTTACCTAATTTATATGTACTCCAGAAAACAAAATGGAATCACAGAATCCAATGCTTATTGGATTCTGTAAATACCAATAAGTTACAGCAAGTATTTGCTACTTAGATAGAGTGTTGTCTGGAGACACGCATTATGGGGAAAGTTGCTAAGCTGGTTTCCTTAACTGATCTCAACACTGATTTGGGGCATAATTGATACTTTTGTCATGTGTCTTATTAAACATAATGGATGGCATAATAGTCTTGTGCTGTGGACAATTACTCCTGAGGGTCTTTACTAAGAGCCTAAGCTACTTCAAAAACTAACAGAATTAGATATAAATGAGTTTCTGTTATAAACAATATATCTTATATTAATGAAAATAAACTCAGTACATTATAATAAATATAGTGATAAATAGGAAGACATTCCTAGGTATTAAATAAAAGCAAATTTTATATTAGAGGTAGACTTATTTGTATTTATTATTAGCATTTCACTAATATTTCCTTAAAAATGATTTCTGTCATATATCAGTATCTTTTAAAAAATAAATTTTATCATCAGACTATTTTTTCATCCTAAAATCTATTTTTAATTAAATCTGTTTATCTCCCAAGCATGGGTTTAATGTATATCAGCTAAATTTTTTTAGAACTACTGAAAACACGCATAAAGGTGAATAAATCATTAATACTATCAGTGTTTCTATGGTCAATGAATTTCCCCAGTTTATCTATATTTAATTCTATTTGACCAGTGATGTTGCAATTTTCTAGTAATTTCAGAAAAGTTGGTCTTGTTTCCATGTTTGATTTAGTAATTAAGCTTGTATTGTTAATATGACTATATACGTGTAGTCTTTTAAATTTATGTGGTATTGAAGTACATTTTTTGGAAGTTGAGTTTTAT